ACATCTCTGCTCACTTTGGCTAAACAGAAATGTGTCCCTTTGCAAAATCAAACACCGACAAATAAAAGAGCACGACACTGTATGATTTCTAGAGCAAATATAGGGCAATTTGTTCAGCAGAGTGATGTAAGCTTCGTTATGATTGCATCATCCGTGACTTCTAGGAATAACATGATGCAATTCATATCATGTATGACGCAATACCAGCTTCAGATTACATCATTCATTGTTTTACCTAAAAAGCAAGTACTGTCCAAACCCAGTCATAGATTTATTCCTAGATCCAGTCAAAGATGTATTTTAGTCATTTCTGGTTTAAATTGAGATCCCTTCCCTTTATAACTCACTTATCCTCCGCCATTCCCAAGTCAAGGGTCGTATATACTGACCCAATAGCATATCTTGAAAACTAGAGCCAATCAACAATTTTAAGCATCATTTTCGTTCTCAGTGACCGAGAATTAGTAAAGTTTGACTACATTTATTTCAGAAGCATTTTGGCTGTAGAGCAGTGTAATCAATCAATACAAAACTTTCAATACGTAGAGTGCACATTTCTACTTAGATGTAGGCTCCTTGACAGAGGGACTGTGTCTTCATTCTTTATGCAAGAAACCATGCACATATAAAACACTATATACAGATGATTAATAATTGCACTGATACTTTCCATACATAGAATTATGGTTTGAAAGACAAATTTGCGTTTCTATTCTTTAATTCTTCAAAGGTTTATTGTAGTTCTAGTGCAGCAGAAGTACAGCAGTACTAGAACATACTGTCTCAGATAAGATACCTCAGGAGTCCAGTTTTAGCTCAAAAATATTATGGAGCTGGGGCGTGATACTTTTGGTCTGAGAAATGGGATCAAGCAGTAGATCTCTAAACACTCCCAAGAAACATTCCACAGAGCATCGATAGCAGCCTCTGAGAATGTCAGATCTATATTTTCACAAAGATGTGTAATAGGTGTTAACCAAAGGAGCAAAAAGAGGGGGAAGAGGAGGAGAAAACCAAACAATGAAAGCAAGGGCAATGGCACAGACTCAGTTGCCAAAAGGAGAGTAAGACAGAGGTGAAAATTCTGCAAGGTAATAACACTGTTCAAAGGGGTTTAGAGAATAGATATCAAAGGAGGGTCAGAGTGACTATTTCAGTGATATTCAGACTGAGGCTTTGCAGCACATATTAAAACACTGTGTGATTTTAATTATTAGCCTATCAGGATGCTTTTACTATGTTAACAATTGTAGCTGATAAAATAATAATACTTGGTCAGTCATTTTGCTGTGAGAATAATATATATATGTGTGTGTGTGTGTGTGTGTGTTTGTATAAACACACACACACGGCTGGATTTAGGGGCAGGTGACCCAAGCGGGCTTGGGGAACACCGGGCTCAGGGTGCTGTTTTTGTTGTTAGCGACAAAAAGGAAAATAGAACTTTTGAAGTAAAATATTTCATGTATTCCATATGTGATTCATTTTCACTAACCCCCGAGAATATTCTAGACCTTTGTGGAATCTCATGGAACCTTCCAGACTTTTTGAGAACTACATTTTCCTTGAACCTCCTAGAATGTTGTCAGCCATGCCCTCATGAGTATATAAGGCACAGGATAGTCTGAACCTTGTTTTATGGTGTAATTGTGAAAGTTTATTTGTGTTTTAAGATTTGAAGAGTGTAAGTAGTGACTAATGAAGGACATTTTTAATGAGACACCAGAGACATTTAATGAACCCCTATCCATGAAACAATATAAAAGAAATATTATTACTTCTTTTGTCATGTTTAATACATATTGTTTGATTACTTTCTAAGACTGCGGAACATAGACTTTTGCTGTCCCTAATACAGTCTGTTTTCCCCCAAAGAAGCCTTCAGGAGCTCAGTATAGAAAGCAAAAAACTCAGTTGCAAACTAGTTTGCAGCAAGGGGCAAATTTGATGGGAAAATATCTGAAACAGAACAACATAGACCAGGCTTTAGGCAGTAGCGATCATCCCAGTGCAGGAAAAATTGAGGAGTGAAGTCCTATTACTAAGGAATTAGCAGATTTACCTAATGATAAAGAATGGAAATGTAAAGAAAGTGATGGAGAATCGTCCAGTTTTCCTGGTGGCATAAAGGAGAGTGATGATAGAGAAGAATTGGCTCACATGAAAAGGAGAGAAATGACAAAGAAAAATCTGGTTTACATGAAAAGGAGAGAAATGATGAAGAATCCGCCACACATGATGACAGAAACAACGAGAAAAACTGCACACCACAAATTGATCTATCAAAAGATCCTGCTTTATGGCCAGTGATCCTAAGTTCTGCCATACAATTTTGAATAGGACAGGCAAAATCGAGGATATGACGTTTCCAGTAAATGAGCAGAAGCAACTCTTCTCAAAGTCACACTGCAAAAGACTACTCAAGAATGGTGAGAAACAGAATCGGCATTGGCTAGTTTACTCAAAATCAACTGACAAACTGATCTATTTTTCTTGTAAAATATTTAACAAGAATGCCAAATTGTTGCTTGTGCTTTCTGGGTACTATTGCTGGCATAATTTAGCTGATGCTCTGAAGCAACATGAAAAGTCACCGGGTCATTTTACGGCCCAATCCAAATGGACGCGAGTCGAGTCCAGGCTCAAGCTGAATAAATGCAAAGATGCAGAAAACCAGTACATTATTCAATGTAGAAACCGAGAATTGGAGGAACGTGTTCAAGCATCTGATCTGAATTACCCTCTTCCTTGCAAAGAATAATTTGGCTTTCTGGGGCTCGTCTGATATATTGTTCACTGAACATAAAGGTAATTTCCTTGGTTTGGTAGAGCTCCTTGGGAAATACGACGATGTCATGTGTAAGCACCTACATCAACTAGTTTGTAAAAAAGCTATGGACCATTACTGCAGCAAAACAATTCAAAACTAATTGATTGACTTTATGGCAAGGAATGTGCTTAACAACATATTGATGCAGCTCAGCAAAGCAAAGTACTATGCTGTAATAATGGACTGCACTCCCGACATTAGTCACAGTAAAAAAAGATGTCATTTACAGTAAGATTTGTTGACAAGGATGGGTGTAGCCAAGTAAAGGAACACTTGATCCGTTTCCTGTCTGGACAACTCTACTGGAAAAGCCTACCAGAACTGTTTATGAACGTTATGAATGAGAATAAAATAAAGCTTCAGGATTGCCATGGCCAAGGCTATGACTATGGCACAAACATGAAAGGAAGAAACAGTGGCATCCACGCAAGGATCCTTGAATTGAATCCAAGAGCTTTCTTTATGCCTCACAGCTGCTATTCCCTCAACCTGGTTATGTAAGATGCAGCATCATCTTCTTTAGATTCAGTATCTCTCTTTGGAATACTGCAAAGGATATATGTCTTCTTTTCAGCATTAACTATCAGGTGGAAGATATCACAATGTCACAAATCTGACCCAGAAGCCACTAAGTGACACTCGCTGACAGAGTTGCATTGACAACGTAAGGTCAGTGAGGTACCACGTGACTGTTGTTTATGACGCCCTGATGGAACTGGCGCAGTTGAGAAGAGGCCAGAATCCAACACAAGGCGCAAAGCCCAGTAAACCAGATCACTGACTTCAAATTTCTGGTCTCAATTGTGGTTTGGCATGATATCCTGTTCCAAGTCAATGTTGTAAATAAGGCATTACAAACTCAGTAGATGGACATTGTGACCACTACTACTTTGATGAGAAGCTGACTTGATTTCGTTGTGGCCTACAGAGACAACACATTTGAACATGTCATCACAGCTGCCAAAGAAATGGCAGAAAACTTAGGAGTTGAGCCTGACTTTAAGGAAACTCATATTAATCATAAGAAGAAAAACAGCTTGGTTACAAGGGCAGAGATATGGTGATAGGAAGCTTGGATGAAAAATTCAAGAGGGAGGTTTTTTGGTTGCTCGTTGACACTGCTCAAGTGTCCATCAAAGAAAGGTCTGGACAAATGAAGCACCACAAAAAAGACCTGGAAGTTTTTGTATGACCTTAGTAAGCAGGAAAACACTTGAACAATTGTACGGACCTTCACCAGACTCTGACACATGGGGAATGTTCAGATGTCAGTGATGAAAACCTCTGTGTTGAACTGGACAACAGCGATCACATTTTGCAACAGAGGAAGCACTCTCCACTCCAAGTTCTCCTATTCAGTCATGATGCAGAGCTGGAGAACACTTTTCCTAATGTGTGGATACTTTGAGGATTCTGCTCACGCTGCCAGTAATAATCGCAAGTGGTGAGCGCAGGTTTTTGAAGCTCGAGCTCATTAAAACATATTAAATTGCCGATGGCCAATGAAGAAACTGACATCGCTTGCTATTCTATTGCTTGAAAATGGCATTGTCCAGTTTTTGGATCTCTGATGCTGTGCTTCAGTTCGGGAGGGCAAAAGGCAAGAAGAGCAACTTTTTGAACTAAAGGATAGGGTTAACATTCTAAGGCTGTCACTTACTGTAACACTATTTAATACTGGTCCACCCAATGTTCAATTTCTTCATGTTAGTACATTTCAGTTATTCTTAAAATTAAAAAAAAGTTTCTATAAACAATTCTTTTTATTTGCTTACATATGGCATAATTTACAGATCCTACTGTACAAGTTTATCATCTTATGAGACAGGGATAAATCATGCATGCAAATCGTGTATCAAAGTCAGGAAATGGGCTACAAAAGCAATAAAAAATAAGGTATTCAAAAGTTTAACAAATGGAGGGGGAGCACCTAAGATGCTCTTCACCTGGGGCCCCATCTGTTCTGGGGCCGGCCCTGTATATACATAAATGAAACAATGAATTCACATTACTGTGGCTCTTTTTTTTAATGTTAACCACTAATATGGTTCCTGAACCACTAAGATCTGAGTATCACTGGAATATTTGTTTTGGAGATTTATGTCACCACCCAACCTAGCACATCACCTACCACAAACACATGGGAAACCACTTATAAAGAAAATGTTACCTCTATGTGCATTGCAAATTGTGCTTTCTCCTTATCCTTGTGCTCTATGCAACGCTTCAACTCCTCTACCTCTGACATGACAGCACTATGATTCAGCTTTGCTCTTAACTCCAGGATCTGTTTCTCCAATTCTTGCTTCTCCCGCTCAGACCTTTCAACAACTACAAAACAGTGTGAGCCATTTGTGAACAAACAAATAGAATTGATATGCCAAATGAAAGCACTAAAATCTAGAAAATAAAATTTCTCATTCCTATCTTCACAGTACTATTTTCTTCTTCCCATATAAATTATGGGGTATTAATGGTAACATATGAATATCCCACAACTATTGATTTTATTAGTGTACAACCAGATGATACTGAAAGTTAAAAGTATGATTTCATAGCTAGGGAGATATTAGCCTTCTATTCACTGCAGCCAAGCCATTTCATGTTCTCTTCCTCCTTTATAGGCAGATTTAATATAGGAGTGAAAAAAACATGGATGAAATGGGAGTTTTACCACTGACTTCCAACAGAGCCAAAATTTAACCACATTAAGGTAAAGTCACAAGATCTGGATGCTATACTATTAGAGAAGAGTACTTTATAAAAAACTGTCACGATGTATCACTTTTTACTATATCTAGGTAAGTATGTGAAGTTTCCATTCTTATCCAGAACTTATAACGTAAATTTCTATCTAAAAATTGCAGTAATTATATCAGCAGTTCCTCAGCTGATAATCAAGGTTCTGCAGTTTATAACCCATTAAAAATTCAGAAAACCTCAATCCCTACCCCTTTGCATGAGTCTCTGTTCTATCCCCAGACTACTTTCTGTTGAAACGTTTGCTTAAAGCTCTATTCCTCTTTTTGGTAAAATTGCTCCAGGACAGGTTTTGTTTCTTCCTTTGCATTTTTATAGCAACTTTTTATAGCATAGTTATTATAATTGCAAAACAAGTGGTGGAAAGGAATTTTAAATGTGCAATATAAGGCTCTCATACTATTGTCACAAATAAGTTCAATTTTAAGCAAAATGGTCACTTTATCAGGTGGTTCAAAAATGGCTAACAATTCACCCTCTTCTGAAAAAACGAAGTATTTGATACAGGACTATAGGTTCTTCAGTTTTCTGAGGAAGAGAAGATTTTTATAAAACATGGAATCACAACTCTATTTTAATGACCATAAGAATCTGTCTGGATGCAAGAGGAATTAAGCAGCTGTAATATGAAGTTACAAAAATAGAAAGTAGGACTTAACCAAGCTGATGAAAGATTCACTGGGATATTGAACCTACCCTAGAGACCACCTAAATCACACAAAAGTGTGTCACTATACATGATAGACCATAGTGACTCCAGAAGATATTGACTTTTTTTAAAACACACAAGTCAAGATGCATTTAGAGAGCTTAAGTACAGATCAATTTGTAATTTTTTATCCAAAAATACTTTAGAGACATTATGGCCTACTATGCAATTACCTCTTGAGATTTTAAATACACCTCTACCCCGATATAACACGAATTCGAATATAATTTGGTAAAGCAGTGCTCCGGGGGGGGCGGGGCTGCGCACTCCAGTAGATCAAAGCAAGTTCGATATAACGCGGTTTCACCTATAACGCGGTAAGATTTTTTGACTCCAAGGACATCATTATATCGAGGTAGAGGTGTATATTTTTAAAATTCAGAATACCATGACCTATTTTCACATTTCTAAGATGTCGCAAATACAAGCATTAACTGAATGTGATTGAAACTATATTTTCTACTTCTCCCTAGAATAAGTTGTCATTTCTGAAGGATAATTTGGAGGTTTAACAGGCAATTTAGCAGCCTTCTTAATTAAGGAAAAATCTACACAGTGAGGTGAATCTTGCACTGTGCTGCAATGTGTCAAGAGAAACTCATGATAGGTAGAAATAGTCTTTTTCTGAAATGTTGGTATCAAAATTTTTATAGTAAATCTTTTGATACTATAAAAACGGTTCAAAATTTCTCTTCTGTGAAGAAACCATTGATTCTGCTCAATTTAATAATCCTATAAATTTAGAATTTTTTTAAAAATAACCAGTATGAAGATAATGTATTTCAGTCTTCTCATAACTTTTGTTTCTCATAACTACTTAGCTACTAACATCTGACACCAGTACAAACAAAAGTTAATTGAGCCAAGAAGATAACTAGCTGTATTAGTCCAACCAACAGAGGATCTAGAGTACAACTCAAAGACAGAGATCATTCTCTTGCAAAGTCGTAAATTTATGTCCCGAAAAACAGGAAAAGGCTGTACCTGATCTAATTCTCCTGTCGTCCTCTTGCTCATCATGGCAGCTTTGGCGGTGCATGGCAACCTGTGAAACTTGATGCTGCAAATCCATGCGGTCTGCTTCTGCTTTCAGTAATTGGGAATGGAGATCCTCAATCTAACAAATAGACAAGTACCAAACATTTAATAAAACAAAACAAAAATGCAAACAATTCTACCAAACACCATAAACATTAAAAGACTTGATATAATTACCACGTCTTTAGCAGATCCCTAAGTGCTCAGAAAGGGCAAGCATAAAAGAAATGAAAGTTCATTCCTAGATATGGTCAGAAAGGAATAATCAAAATACCGGATGAGCTAGTATAAATCATCACATTGACAGTTGCAAGGAAAGGCGTTAATCAAACCAAGCCATGTTCTAATCATTCTCACATGCTGTAATTGACTTATTCTATCTCTATATCTGATTCTAGTGGGAGGAGGGGAGGCAACAGATTGCAGCCATCAGAAGTGTGATATTAACATATCAATTCTTCTTTAGTATAAGAGGATTCTGCAGTTCACTTTCATTTTCTTTCTGAATATATTGTATGTCACATATTAACAATACTGTACAATATTAACAATACAAAGAACATTTGATAGAGCACCATTAACGTGTGTGTTAAAACAAGCCAAGCACAGAACCAGAATTAAAGCAAAAAATATTATTCTTAATCCACCTCACTGTGCCTAGGTATTTCAGCATGTATGAGACATATCTTCTGAGGTACCTACACACAATGGGCTGAGTTCAAAATAAAACAGTACAGATTTCTGAGTTGAAAATGCTAACAAAAGTCAAACAATGAATGCTAATGGAACTGAGCCCCAAATCCCCCTCAACCAATTTCATCTCTTTTTCTAGCTCTCCAAAAAAAAGAGGGGGCAGGTAAAGCACTGAGTAAATAGGGAGAGTTTCTGATACTATAAAATATCAGAGGGGTAGCCATGTTAGTCTGTATCCACAAAAACAACAAGGAGTCTGGTGGCACCTTAAAGACTAACAGATTTATTTGGGCATAAGCTTTTGTGGGTAAAAAACTCACTTCTTCAGATGCATGGTGTGAAAATTGCAGATACAAGCATAAATATATATTGGCACATGAAGAGAAGGGAGTTACCTTACAAGTGGAGAACCAGTGTTGAAGGCCCATTCAGTCAGGGTGGATGTGTTCTATTCCCAATAATTGATGAGGAGGTGTCAATATCAAGAAAGGGAAAATTCCTTTTGTAGTGAGCCAGCCACTCCCAGTCCCTATTCAAGCCCAAATTAATGGTGTTAAGTTTGCAAATGAACTGGAACTCTGCAGTTTCTCTTTGAAGTCTATTTTTGAAGATTTTTTGTTGAAGAATGGCTACTCTTAAATCTGTTATTGAATGTCCAGGGAGATTGAAGTGTTCTCCTACTGACTTTTGTATGTTACCATTTCTGATGTCTGATTTGTGTCCATTTATCCTTTTATGTAGAGACTGTCCGGTTTGGCCAATGTACATGGCAGAGGGGCATTGCTGGCACATGATGGCATATATCACATTAGTAGATGTGCATGTGAATGAGCCCCTGCTGTTGTGGCTGGGTCCTATGATGGTGTCCCTAGAGTAGATATGGGGACAGAAAAGGCAACGTGGTTTCTAACAGGGATTGGTTCCTGGGTTAATGTTTCTGTGGTGTGATGTGTAGTTATTGGAGTATTTGCTTCAGGTTGGGGGTCTGTCTGTAAGCGAGCATTGGCCTGCCTCCCAAGGCCTGTGAGAGTGGGGGATCATTTTCCAGGATAGGTTGTAGATTGTTGATGATGCGCTGGAGAGGTTTTAGCTGGGGGCTATATGTGATGATCAGTGGTGTTCTGTTATTTTCCTTGTTGGGCCTGTCTTGTAGTAGGTGACTTCTGGTTACCCATCTCGCTCTGTCAATCTGTTTCCTCACTTCTCCAGGTGGGTATTGTAGTTTTAAGAATGTTTGATAGAGATCTTGTAGGTGTTTGTCTCTGTCTGAGGGATTGGAGCAAACGCGGTTGTATCTTAGGGCTTGGCTGAAGACAATGGATCGTGTGAGGTGTCCTGGATGGAAGCTGGAGGCATGTAGGTAAGTATAGCATTCAGTAGGTTTCTGGTATTGGGTGGTGTTTATGTGACCATCACTTATTTGCACTGTAGTGTCCAGGAACTGGATCTCTTGTGTGGACTGGTCCAGGCTGAGGTTGATGGTGGGGTGGAAATTGTTGAAATCCAGATGGAATTCTTCAACGCCTCCTTCCTGTGGGTCCATATGATGATGATGTCATCAATGTACCGCAAGGGCGTTAGGGGACGAGAGTTGAGGAAGCGTTGTTCTAAGTCAGCCATAAAAATGTTGGCATACTGTGGGGCCATGAGGGTACCCAGAGCAGTGCCGCTAACTTGAAGGTATAAGTTGTCCCCAACTCTGAAATGGTTGTGGGTGAGGACAAAGTCACAAAGCTCAGCCACCAGGTGTGGCATGGCCTCATCACGGATACTGTTCCTGACAGCTTGTAGTCTATCCTCGTGTGGAATATTGGTGTAAAGAGCTTCAACATCCATGGTGGCCAGGATGGTGTTTTCAGGAAGATCACTAATGCATTGCAGTTTCTTCAGGAAGTCGGTGGTGTCTCAAAGATAGCTAGGAGTACTAGTAAAGACAGTTACCTTTTCCATAACTGGTGTCCTTCGAGATGTGTTGCTCATGTCTATTTCACAATAGGTGTGTGTGCGCTCGCCACATGCACCGGTGCAAGAAGTTTTTCCCCTAGCAGTACCCATAGGGGAGTGCCCCAGCGACCCCTGGAGTGGCGCCTCCATGGCACGGTATAAGGGGCACTGTGCGCTCCTCCCATCCTCAGTTCCTTCTTGCCAGTGTTGCCTGTCTAGGGTGCACTAATAATATTAATTTGGATAATATGGGAATTTAATTCTTATTTAATCTAATCTAATTAATATTAATAATAATTAATCATTAATATTAATTACTAAGGGTCTTAGGCTCACCAATCTGTTTGATCAGAAGATAAAAGTTCTTGTCCCGAATCAGGCTCCACAGAATTTACAAAGGACCCTCGAGGGTATGACAAGAAGCTCAGACTGAGACAGATATAGCCTTAAAGACTTTTTATTAAAATCAATAATAGTAAGTAAGTGGTAAAATACTCAGAGTTCCAAAGTTACAATTGCATTACTGCTATTCAAAAGATACATATGATAATATAGTATTATATGCAACAAAGCTTTGGTTAATATACTCACACCCTTCCTTGATAACCTGGTGGTAAGAGACACAGGATCAGACTTGCAGTTCAGGTTTCTCAATTCTTGAGTGAGGGATGCAGTGCTTAGAAAAATCTAATGCTAAGAGCTATCAAAACTAAATTAGGGTTTACTTGACTAACAAACTTAAAATCAAAACCTAATAAATAAACTAAGAATAAAACTTAGGGAGACCAAGCCTAGTTCCCTTGAAAGTTAAACTTTAAGAAGAACAAGTATAGCCTACTAATAGTAGTAGTCATAGTAGATAGATAGAAGAGGAATAAGAATAGAGATAGAGTAGAAATAGAATACTCTAGCGAGGTGGGTGTTACCTCTTTTATAGGGCACAAGTGCCAGAAATCCTTCCTCCTATGCCCAAATTTCATTCCTCGCCCACAAAATGTTAGGGTACGCTTACCCCATAGGCTAGTATGTTTGTGCCTATTGATGACACGTACATACGCCCATACGTTTCCTTGTGGTGTACCTGTTAAGTCTGTGGGTACAACACTGAAAAAAACCCTTTGCCATTCTCCATTATATATTGGTCTAGATAAAAGGTCATAGACATAGACATAGGTACTTATCTATTTAGATAACAAGATGTAGGTCAACTTTGCTTTCTGGGTAAAAGGTCTTAATATAGATATGCTAACTTTGCCTTAGCTTAATATACAGGATATGGCCTGTAGGTCTCTTGCATTATAGACAAACTTACTTTAATATAAATTTATAAACCTATTACAATAAACCAAATACTTAAACTATAAGAAAAGATATATATATGCAAGCAACAGGTTAGTCCTATAGGCTACACCAGACAACTCCGACAGAGGGGAAGGAGGGCGGAATGTGGAATAGACATGAGCAACACATCTCGAAGAACATCAGTTACGGAAAAGGTAACTGTCTTTCTTCGAGTGATTGCTCATGTGTATTCCACAATAGGTGATTCCAAGCTATATCTGTTGGAGGTGGGTAGGAGTTAATAAACTCTCGGGATGGAGCACAGTCCTGCCAAACCCGGTGTCTTCTCTGGTCTGGGAGACAATCACGTAATGCAAGGTGAACATCTGAACTGAAAAACAGGTGGCAGCCCTACAAATGTCCTGAATGGGGACATGGGCTAAAAAGGCAGCCGACGAGGCCTGCACCCTAGTTGAATGTGCCCTCACAATCGATGGCGAGGGGATACCCGCCAAGTCGTAACAGGTATGGATGCACAAGGTGATCCAGCTGGAGAGCTGCTGAGTGCAGATCGGCCAACCCCTCATGCATTCGGCTGAGGCAATGAACAGCTGCGAAAACTTCCTGAATGCTTAGTCCGCTCCAGGTAAAAGGCCAGAGTCCGTCTAACATCCAGCGTGTGGAGGCGGCGCTCCTCACTGGATGCATGGGGCTTGGTGCAGAGGACCGGCAGGAAAATATCCTGACCCACGTGGTAGGTGGAGACCACCTTCGGGAGGAACGAAGGATGTGGGCGGAGCTGGACCTTATCCCTATGGAACACTATGTACGGGGGCTCGGAGGTCAGGGCCCTGAGTTCCGAGACCCATCTAGCAGACGTGATCACCACTAGGAAGGCTAGCTTCCACAAGAGGTGTGACCAGGAGCATGTAGCTAACGGCTCGAAGGGGGGACCCGTCAATCGGGCTAACACCAAGTTCAGGTCCCGCTGTGGGACTGGGGGCCTAACGTATGGGAAGAGATGATCCAATCCCTTAAGGAATCAGCCAGTCATAGCATGGGAGAAGACCGTGTGCCCCTGCACCGGCGGGTGGAAGGCCAATATGGCTGCCAAGTGCACCTTGATGGATGAGGGCGCCAGGCCTTGGGCTCTAAGGTGCA